AGTCTTGGCATGATATTTTGGGAGTTATCTAGTGGTTATCCACCTTTTGAAGACCAATCAAAGATTTCTATAGCTATCAAACTTGTTAATGGTTTCAGAGAAGATGAAAAATACGGAACTCCTGAGTATAGAAATCTTTATATTAAATGCTGGAGCGCTGACCCATATGAACGTCCAGATATTGAAGATGTGCACAAATTGTTAGAAGAAATAGTAAATTCTAAGATAATGCCAGAGATTGACCCTCGTACTATTAACCCTGATGGTATGTATAATATTTTTACTTCTTGAAATAACGGTCATGGCGTTATTTTGAAAATAATGTTTCAAAATCAGTAGAGTTGGTTTTGAAATAATGCTTATGCGCGTCTCGAATAATGCGCACTTCATGATAATTTTGCTCGTGTTGTTTTTAAAATAAATGTCACGAATTATAATGAAATTGGATTAAAATGAAAGCTAAGAGTTTCTATTTAACTCTTATACCTAGGGACCAAGGTTGGCAATGGAGCTCAATGGAGCCAATGGAGCTGTGAATGGAGCCAATGGAGCTCTGAATGGAGTCAATGGAGCTCTGAATGGAGCCAATGGATATTAGTTTTTTTTTTTGAACTCCATTCGCACAGCCATTGAGCTCCATTTACTTATTGCCAACCCTGCTAGGGATGGGCAAATCGAATCTACTGCGCTGTACAGCCTCATTCCTCTAGGAATCTAGAGACTTTTACTCATTAGATTCGTGGTTATGTATATAAAACATCTACTATGTGTAATTAGGCTCCCATAATTTTAATTAGTGCTCAAATGTCGGTTTAACACCAGTTATCGAGTTTTTTTATATATATTTTTCTTGCATATCGGTCATCTGGCAAAACAACTTTAAATGGTGCCAAATGATCTGCAATTTTGACCAGAATTATGAACGCATTATAAAGCTGACCAGAGTTATGCCAGCTGGCCTGAGTTACTGCACGGTCTCTCAAAAATACTGCATAATGCCCTATACCAACTTATAATTGTTTATTGTAAATTTTACTCCTAAATATGGTCTCCTAACCCTAAAAAACCCCCAAAAATGCATCCTAAAAATTTGTATTTTTAGTGGTTTGTCTATGCTGTATTATCATTATACAAAATTTCATTTTGATCTGATTTCATTTTAATCTGCAACAGTAAATAACAAACTCATGACAACCATGAAGAATCTTTACAGTTGTCACGTGTTTCCAATTTTCATTATGTCAGCCAATAAGTATGATAGCTCTTCCACAAAAAATCCCCCTCATGATGTTTATCCAATTAGATCGAAAGATCAGGGTTAGGATTAAGTTACGTTGGGAGAAATTTTTGATTAATTTTTTGTGGGAGATCTACAGATGTTGTCAATTAATTGTGAAGATTGACTAATACAATGAATAACTTGCACATTATCATTGTAAAACTTCTGCTTATTATGTCAATTAGAAAAATCGAACTGCTATCAAAAATAACGCCCATGGGCGTGCTCGAAATAACGCGTAGATGCCCATTATTTCGAGAATTTACGGTATATTTACATTATAGTTATTTATCTAAACGCATAATTAAAATTTTAAAGTTGGCAATAATTCAAGAACTTCAACTAAACAGACAAGATTAACTGTAATCGATGGTAAATAATCCTTTAATGTATTTATTTTCGATATTATTCTATACAGTAAACATTTATATTTTCAATTTTTATTATTTTGTAATTACCAGATTCAAACCTTGACAAACTATATCTATCAACGACAGAGGCGATCGAATAGCAGAATTAATTATTTCAAATAAGAATTAGCTATGACTAAAACCTTTTACGTATTTGCAGTTGTGCTTATCATATTACATTTATATAATAAATCTTTACTATATCTGATACAATTAATTAATCAGTTGTGATTTCGGTAATGATCACTGCCGAATCCAAATTTGTCGAATCCGGTCGGTCCAGATGCCCCAGAATTTATGAAAATAGATGTAAAAAATTTTCTTCTATCCGGGTGGGATTTTTAAAAATAATAACATACATATTTTTTAATAGTTTTGCGAAACTATAGTAAAGATATGGGTCTAAATTTTAGTTAAGGTGATTTTTTGGGGGATGCTGAACATTTTTGCTTAGTATATCTGGTGTTAGTTATTTAGCTAGTTTTTGAGATATAGGTAAAACCATTTAAAAAAATCTAAAAATTTGATATGTTCTTTATATATATATAATTATTTTGAAAATAATTTTGAAAATAAAATTAAAAACCGAGTTACCAGGTCATTTTTAAAAATTTTATGTTATGATAACCGATTTATTAAGTTTGTATGGCCTTACATTTTTTTACTTGATTTCTACATATCAATGAGTAATTATTTTTTGAACCTGGTCCAATTTTATATATGACGTAATAACATTCTGGTCTAAATTCACAATGGTATGTTTATGGCATGTCAAATTTTTTGATTTGACTAACGCTAATGTAAGTCGCCATGAAAAAGCTTTTAAAAAAAACCTATTCGAATTAACTGTGTCATGTGTGTTTAGACTGGAATTAGCACAATTTATTTTCACCAATTGGCTAATTTTCTCGTATCTGTTATCGTTATGGAATAAAAGTAGAGCTGTTATCGGCTTGGATGGCTTGGCTTAGCTCCAATTGAGCTATGACAATTGGAGCAGTGGTTTGAACAATAACCTAAGTCATAGTTCAAACAGTGGCTCTAGTAGCCATGGCTCAAGCTGTAGTTTTAATAGTTTAAAACGTGTATTCATCACGTAAAAATTAAGAGTCACAAATCTAAGCTCAAGCCACAGCTCGCACAGCCACTTTAAGCTATAGCTTGATTACGATTCAAGCTACAGCTCAGTTAGCTCAACTATATTATGCAGCTAGAGCAGTCCTAGCTAAAAGTGACATTTCCAAGGATCAAGACAAAACGCGCCTCAATGTTAAACTTTTGGAGGCTTGAGTGGCGCATGGAGCTTGTTGGCTGAGAAAGATGAATACGTAGTCACAGTGTAAAGGGCTTAGTATAACCACAGACACTTAAGCCTCTTTATTAGTGAATAAGTAATTACGTATCGGTATCTGACGATGATACAAATAACTATATATTATTAATCATTCTGCGAATATTCGAATTATATAAATTACGCGACACTTATGTGCAAGTAGGGACACATAAGAATACTAACCCCTTCTTATAATTTCTCAGATATTAACAAAGTCACCATAATAACGCCTCTGGTGAGTTGTCTTAACCTATTTTTTCCTGTATTCATTCATATTATCTCTGTACGTTAAATTCACTCCGTGACAGTGTATTATCTTAATTGAATAGATTTAAGCCTCGTAACAACATTAGCCACTTCTTTTCACACCTTGTAACTTTTAAATTTATATTTTTTTTATGATAAAATAAATTTATTAATATAAAAGACATATGTAAAAGTATTCTTATTTACATAAATACTTAATCATTTGATGAAACTAATAATTTATATTGGACAAATAATTTTTGCTACGTATGAACACTCCAAGTTGTAAAGGAATTAGTACAACTTCATGTGAATGCCTATATAACTATATTGAATCACTCTTCTAAGAGATATTCTGGTTAAACGTCATGTAACACCCTAGCTGCATTGATCATCTCAGAATAAAGTTAATGCCAGGACCATTACTAAGAAGAACGTTCCCTACATTAAATTTCATGTGAACATTTTATATTAAGCATAAAAGGAAGTTTAATAGACGGATTTTCGACTTAAATTTTGTATTACCGTTACCAGTTTTGACATTGCAATGTTACTAGCTTTTGACTTGATTTGATAAAAGCCACATGTAAACGCATTTTTGCAATAGGTGATGGGGGATGGGGTGGGATGGGGATGATGATCTATATATTTCCATATTTATGATAAATAATGATAAATAGGTAACAAATCCACTAAACCTAACAAAAAAAAAAGTACATTCAACAAATTTCATACCAACCAACTTCATGCATACATCTAATCATGATAAAAATGCGGTTGACTTATATGGCAAGTGAATCCATATGTATGATTTGATAAGATAAACAAATAGATTATCAATAATTTTTACTAAACCAAGAAAATACAAGTCTTCTCTAGGATCCATTGTTTTTCCATGTACCCGATCCAAAGTGAATCCCTCTCGCCTGTGATCAATCACAAATTAAATTATTTATGTTGGATTCAATTGTGATGGATATAATCCCTCACCAGTTTAAATATACCTGTAATATTAACGCTCTCTGCTGTTACGTACCAACTAAAAATTTACATTTCGTCCACATGCGTGATTTCAAGGTCTTAAACAGCATTTAAACTCATACTCCCTAATGATATTCAATCTACCTTTGTGCAGCATTCCGCCAAATTTTGGGCAATAACGATAATAAAAAAAAAAAAAAAAAAAATTTATTTTGTTCAAGTGATTACCGCTAATCCGGTGAGATTCGGATCAAATTTGTTAATCTGGCCCAAATTAAGGGGTTATTTTTTAGGTAATTTATAATTTGGTAGATCCTTGATTAGCGTTAGCCAGAAAAAAAAAAATTAAAGAACATATAGCAACCATTAAAATCAATAGGGCGCAAAACGTGTATCCTAAAGGCTAAAATATGGTACGTACTTAATTCTTTTAGTTACAGCCACATAGTATTATCCCGGGTTATGTTTGCATTTGTACAAGTTTTTAATACTCAATATCTTGAGCCCTTGATTTTTTTATGTTAAAAATGATTTCCTTTTTGTACGTGCCAGTTAAAATTTAACGTTAAATGCAAAATTTTTTAATTTATTTGGCTTATGTAAGTAAAAAAAAACTTTATAAAGTTGATCACCATTGTACACGGATGACGAATCCGGTAATTTCCGATCAATGTTAATCTGGTCCAAATCAAGAAAACGTCATTTTTTATAAAAATCGATAGGGGCGCAGAATGTATTCCTAAAAGCTAAAATGTCTTTTGATTCTAATTCTAATTCTTCTGTTTCGTCGATTTATTATCGTTATTCAGTATTGCTCTGTGTTATTATTTTTGCTTTTATGCAAAATTTTAGCACTCAGTATTTTAAGGCTTTCATTGTCATTTACATCTTCGCGTTTTTATTAGCAAGCGATAAACTTAAAGCTCCATTAAAATTCATATATTCATGCTTCTTAAAGCCAATTGGAAATAATGCTGATCAAAAGAGTCGATTAGATTCATTTTATGAGGATCAAGCCGAAGGTTTGCATGTTTTTATGCCTATACTTTTGACAAATCCCCAAAAAAAAGAAATAATAATTTAAGTTTTCACCGTGTCGGAACCCCCTGGAAAGAGTTGCGATATTACCAGAGTTACGCAGTTTTCGTAGTCTACGTGCTAATTACACATTGACTATATAGTATAGTAATTATAATATGAGCTGGCGTTATGCAAACTTGTCCAAATTATAAAGACTATTAAAAAATCCTACGAAACTATCTCTAAATTTTACGAAAACTAGTATATGATTAGTTTTCTAATTAATTCGATTGCGCGAGAAATAATAGAAGTAATTCTATGTTTACGCGTACTTGCGTTCTCAAATAATTGGAACACTGATCTTATACGTGATTAAATTACGTAATATCACTATTCTTTCAGGGTTAAGTCCGATGCTGATCCGGTGAAAACTTAGGTTTTAGTTTGATTACATTCATATATATATTCTTATTTGCAAAAAAAAATGAATGCCATTTTTTGAGTGTCTGGAATTTGATTAACATGTATATTTACGTTATATATATATATTTAATATTCTTGATACAAAATAATTACCATTAGTTTACGATGATACGCGTGGTCGCCTTTTGCGTGGAAGACTTACAATGTTAAAGCTTACGGCTGGACATCTCAAGAAACAAATGACAAATACGTCACGTAAGCCAATTTGGATTGACATCGGAGGTGGAACTGGTAAATATTATTATTAAAGGATCATGAAATTTATGCTTAGAGTAAAATGATTGGCTACATAATGTTATTACGCAATTCATACTTTCAAAGTGTCATTGGCTGAACTTTAATTAGAGATTTTTGTGCTTAACAACATATAAAAAAAAAAGTGTCATCAAATTATCTTTTTTACACTACTGATGTCTTCTTTTCTTTATAGGTTGGAATGTCGAAAAGATGAATGATTTCTTCCCGATAGAACAATTCGACAAAGTCTTTTTGGTAGATTTGTGCGCACCACTATGTAAAATAGCGGAATCCAGATTTCATGCTAGAGGATGGAGTAATGTTTATGTTATTTGTGATGATGCAGCTTCATTTAAGCTCCCAGAAATTGAAAATGATATTGGAAAAATTGATTTGATAACAATGTCTTATTCTTGTAAGTTCAACTGAATCATATTAACGTATCTACATATCACGAAAAATTTTGCACTGTAATCAGTTTTCAAGATCAGTGTAACATGAATATCAGAAAAATTGAAGCATAAGATTTAGTGCAAAACTTCATGTTCACATCTGATCTTTGGTGCGCGCAGAATTTTGAGTCATGTGACTTAATCCGCCAAGTTGACAGACTACATACATTACACCTACAACAAAGGTTTAAAAAGATCATTTTGATAATTTATTGTAGATGTGTGTATGAGGTGTCTAGGATAATTTTTTATGTCGACTTCTAGGCCTTAGGGTTGATAATTTACCAGCCTTGTAAACCTTTTATTTCCCAGTTATATTAACAACACAACCTTATATTTAAATCTATTTTATAGTATCAATGATTGATAAATTCTACCCAGTAATTGATCGCATTAAAAAATTACTATGTCCGGATGGCTTATTCGGAATAGCGGACTTTTATGTCTCTTCTCGTGTGATTAGCAATGATGTACAAGTTCAACAAGGGATACTAAATCGTCATTGCAACTGGTTCACTCGATGGTTTTGGCAAATTTGGTTTGAATTCGACCATATTAACCTACATCCATGTCGTCGTGACTATGTTGAATATCAGTTCGATACAATAAAAAGCTTTAACGGCCGCAACCATTTCCTAATTCCGTATTTTGTTCAGATTCCTTATTATGTTTGGTTGGGTACTACCAAATCTTCAAATTCTGCCTCCCATGTTAATTTAAATCCTATAGAAACCATTTCATTGACTTCTTCGGAAAAGTCTTCCAAAATTTCTGCAGAATCCATCTCAAACAAATCTCTTGTAAATAGTCCAGTTTGGCGTCAATCCTATAACCCTACTTTACCGCGTCATACTCAATTTAATACTTATATTTATGCGTTTACGTGGGAAGATCCACGAGAAGATCTGAAAGTACTTAATTTGAGTGAAGATGATAGTATGCTAGTTATTACTAGTGCTGGAGATAACTTATTGGAATATGCTTTAAGAGCAAATCCTAAACGAATACATTGCGTAGATCTTAACCCATGTCAGGTAATCTTAAATTTTAATCATGGTTTGAAATTTGTCGAAATCACAAACGATGTTTTGCACATTTCTTGATGCATGACAACGTTTAAAATGCGTGCCAGGTTGAGTGATATGTTCTGTAAGACCAAAACTAAGGACTGGTAACCGTCAAAAAATCTCTACTTGGATAGAAAATGATTTAAAAAAATGTTATCAGGAAAACTTAGGAAATTTTTCCTGGTCCAATCCTTTATCACAGGTTTGGATTATTAGCGATTAAATGTTTGACACTATTTTAGATAGTGATCTGATTCAATGACCTCTGACGTGGTTTACCCTTTGTATAATTATAATAAAAAAGTTAATATGGCTTAACTTGACGCACAATTTCAATCACCATTTAAATTTAGATAGACTCCGTTCTCTCTGATAACATTAATGTTAATCCAAGCTTTTGTTTTGACATTTTTTTCACAGAATCATTTGCTTGAACTGAAACTTGCGAGTATCAGTGCATTAGACTATAAAGACTTTTGGAGTTTATTTGGAAAAGGTAAATTTTAGAATAATAATCAATAATTGTTCGCTAAAATATTCTTAGTAAAAAAAAAGGTCGGTCGACTAATCTATAACTTATTCACTTTTAGGTAAACACAAGCAGTTTGAACACTTGCTTGACACACAGCTTTCTCCATACCTAAGTTCACACGCCTACCAATTCTGGAAAAATCATACCAAAACATTTCAGAAAAACTTTTTCCGTACGGGTTCCTCGGGTATCGCTTTACGACTTCTACATTTGATAATATCTTTGAAGGGTCTTTCACGTGATGTAACATCGCTTTGTCACGCAAGATCAATAAGAGAGCAAAAAAAGGTCTTTGACGACAAACTCCGACCTGCAATCTTACACTCCTGGATAATAAAAATGCTTAATAATCCTGTTTTCCTATGGAAAGCTTTGGGTGTTCCAATTCGCCAATGGAAAATGCTTCTTAATGAAGGCACGGCTTATCAATATATATGTGATACTATCGATGGTGTCATTGCTAATTACAAACTTGCAGATGATGGATATTTTTATTTCCTTTGCCTTATGTTACATTATAGTTTTGAATCTTGTCCATCATATTTAACCCAGTCCGGTTTTAATAAATTAAAGAGTGGTGCTTTAGATAGTATTAGAATCCATACTAGTTATATTGTTGATGCTTTGAAAGGATTAGATGAGGGGGAATTGACAAGAGCTGTTTTAATGGATCACATAGATTGGTTTTCAGAAAGTGAAGCGGATGAAGAGATTAAACAATTAGCAAGAGCTGTTAGGAAAGGTGGTCAGGTGTTTTGGAGATCAAGTGCTAGGCATCCGTGGTATAATAAGGTTTTTGCTAAGCACGGCTTTGATGTTGAGCCGGTTTGCATTCGGGAACCTGGGTCGGGTGTACCCCTTGATAGAGTTAATATGTATGCCAGCTTCTATCGAGGAGTTAAACTTTAATATAGTCTTCCCTCTTTATAATCGCCTCCTTTCAGTGTTGGCCTATGACCTTAAATGACCTGTCATAGGTCATTTGGTCATAACGAAGATTGACATGACTTATGCCCTTTTTAGTATAGTAAGAATCATAGTAAAAATTTTTTTTAATATCCAAAAAGTCATGATTTATATGACTAAGGTCGTATAAGAAAAAAAATGGTATGACATAGGTCATCGGCCAGCACTGCCTCCTTTATAATCTCAACCTCTATATAATCACACTATACCCTCGATTCTTTAAATAATAAAATCCCTAAATGTATATAATCGCTATCACACATTTTATGTAATCAAATATTAAATAAATATAATAATTTTACCTTCTTATAATCTCAGTTTTAAATTGCATTAAGATCAGTAAACCTATTTTATATACATATCTAATAGAATAGTGCATGTCAAATTGGTTTTCTGAACTGTTAAATTTCAAGATCAGTAGTAATACGATCAAGGAAAATTAAATCAGTTTGCTCTGAGCGATTCTTTATAATTTAACTTCAACCTGTGCCATAACTTGTCGTAACTATAATGAGTTACAGCAAAAATGCTGTAGCTCATTATAATCATGCGTTATATATAAACCTCCAGCTACAGACTTGACACACACTTCAGATCCCCGTAGTGCTAGACACTGTCAGAGCGATCATGGAATTTGAAATTCTCAGTGGCGTCGGCGCAGGGACCCTGAAGAAGGAGAATTTAAACATTTGATGTACATATAATGGAATAAATCTATAATCTTATTGTAAAAAGACAGTGAAATTTTAAATATTGAAATTAGAATCTGTGCTCGTTTACGTTCACGTGATGAGAAGATCAGGAAGATTCAAAACAAGCCCTGTTTTGTTAAAACTTGTTTCTTTCTCAAAAAAAAAATATTCTAGTGCTCTAGCAAAAAGTATTCCTTGAGGTCTTATTGTAAGATTTGATAACATATAACCCTAATATTACTTGCAAATCTGCGCCACAAACTTGGCACTACCTCTTATATGAGTTCGGTATAACTAGAGACGATAATAAGCAAATGCCCTTTGTCGTCTTCTATATGAGAATAAAGACTAACATTAATGCTTTAATAATCAAGAGGCTTTACAATGATTTGCAATTACGAAAGAGACAAACGGCTACAATATGTATGGCTTATTGAGTTTTCGTGTATGAAGACACGATTACCCTTTTTTTGAATTGTATTGAATCGAGAACGACGGACTACAGCTATCAGCTATACATGCACGATATAATATAGCTAGTGTCGCGTCAAGATCTTTACAGGTGATTTGTTTTTATTAGCTATTTAATTTATACTCACCAAGTATTGTTACACGAGTTTTTATACTATTGGTCATCTCATTAAGCGTGATACACCAACTTGATACATTTGAATTAAAATGTAATTATACAAAATTTTACATATTAATTTGCAATTAAATAAAT